GAGAGAGAGAGAGAGAGAGAGAGAGAGAGAGAGAGAGAGAGAGAGAGAAAGAGGGAAAGGAGGGTCAGGCTTTTGATGAGATACAAGCGCGGCCGATATCAACCAACCAACGCGACGTCCACCAACACCAGATACCACACCACGACGGCACGAAATAGATTGCCACAGTGGATAAAGCGATCCGGGCGTGAAACGTTCATTATATCAATTACTATTAACTATTACCCGCTACTATCGGGCGGACACACCACATACCCTCTGACGCGGGAATTATCCGAACCCGCCGCGTCCGCCACCCTAATTTGGCCGATTCGACATTCACGTCGTGACATCGTGTAGGTACAAATTGCCGGCAGGGCCGGCCGACGATTAATGACCGACTAGAATTTTTACGTCGTGAAAGGAAGTGAAGCGACCGGACCTGCACCTATCCTCAAGTGTATATCAGCAACTCTTTAAAGTTATCGAATTCCAATTTTAAAATTTGTTTTAAGAGTCTATTGTCAATACAAAAATAATGGAAAAATCCGAGATCAATCTACACTGCATCTAAAAGCGATTGCAAACTTGGCATTGATTCAGAGTCCGTAGACCAAAAGTTATTCCATTTTGAAGTGTGAACCCGGCAAACATAACGTCAAAGAACCGTTTTAATGATGAGTTAATGAAGCCTCCAATGTCAACAATACGTCATTTCGTGTCATCCTGCTATTTGGGAATATTTTAAACTGTACTGTTATGGAAATATATAATGTTACTACTTTTGGTAGTAGAACAAGATAATTAAAAAACAATTACAAGAATCTCAATTCTCATATACATGTATTTTACATATCCAAAGTGATGAAGTTTCATCATGGTTTAGAGATAAAAGTTTAAAAATCAGAAATGATATAAAATAAATAAACTATGAAAAGGTAATGTTAAAGTATGTTGTTGTTCAACTGTATCATACGTACAGACTAAGTCAATATAACTATAACTACTTTGAATATCTTCCCAGCAAAAAACGAAAGTGCTCTTAAGATCTTCGGAGCTACATCTTCTTCCAGAAAAAAGCGCAACCACCATATAAACTTTTTTTCTAAGTAGAATAGCTTCGAAAATTTGGATATCATTTTCGTTTCTGGCTTCGAAGATACTCAAGTAGCAATAGTTATTGATTCACTCTATACATACCATTCGTATTTTTATACATAAAATATAGAAATATTAGCGTATTTCTAATTTCCAGTTACTTTTTGAGAGAATAAACGAATAGATCCTTAAATTATTGTGTCCGATGAAAACGCACGTCATTTTCCCTTATAGAAAAGTATCACTGGCTGTAATAAATAGTAATTTTATTACTCGTACGAGTAATAAAATTATTGAACGGCAGTAATTATCACTGGCCAAATTATTACTTATCAGTATTACATTTCTATAAGAGTTGCGTATACGGCATAAATAAATCAGCTGATAACAATTTACAGCATAAATCAGCTGTCACAAAGCGCTTTCTTCAAGGGCGCAATTCCTGCGGCCACTTCTGCACTACCACCACCTCCGCCACCCGCTGGACTCGACTCTAGAAGAAGACTCGTGAGCGAAGTTACGCCGGGAACTCGACAACAACTCCGGTATAAATAGAATGCAGACATATTTTCAGCAGCGAGTCCATCCGGGCGGGGGACGGAGCCGCCGGATCACGCTGGGACGCGCATTTCGGATGTAATACAATAAAATCACAACAACGAGCGTATAAAGTCATCCGCTGGCCGGCAACGGGATTGGCGCTTTGACGACACCATGTGCCGCGCGGTGATCCATCTTAACTGCCAACCCTTGCCACGGACGTGGGACTGTGCAAGTCGATGACTACGATGCCACCGTCCGCTAGAGCTGTCCTCCTCGATCATCCTCCGATCGCGATGATTTTGCCCGAGCGGCGATCGCGCGCGTTCCAAGTTGATCCGACAAAGTCGTTTTCATAAATCGACCGCGCGCGCACGACGCCAACGTTTTGTCAGCGGTGCTGTTGCGCGCGTTCCTCACCGCGCGGCGCAACCGAAGGGGGCAGGTTGGCCTTGCGCGATCAAATCGATTCGTCGCACTTTCATCGAGACGGGCAGACGCCGCGAGTTTCAGCGGAAACCGCATTCGGCGCGCGGTCGCTCGATCGTTGACCACTTGAAACCGCGACGATTTATTTATGCGGTGCGTGTGTGCGTTCTTTTTATGAATTATTGAGACTCCTGGACATTCGCCGCGGCCATCTGGATTTACGACGTTAGAAAAACGAGAGAACACACACGCGAAATTCCTGCAAAATATGCTGAAAAGACATATCCATAAAGTGATATCTGCAATCGATTGAGCAGATCTGCAAAATAGTCTGAACACTTCCATCTTCTGCTCTAACAATCAATAAATAACCGTAAAATCAACGTGACAAAATCACAAAGAAAGATAGGTTAAAAAGGAGGATTAGTGTCCCGCTGAGTTTGCGGTTATTTATTGATTGTTAGAACAAAAGGAAAATGCTCCAGCTATTTTACACATCTGCTCGATTAATGCACTGAGACAAAAATATCTAAAAATTAAAAAATATTTATTTATTACCATTAATATATTTACTTAAAATAAAATTCTTTTTATTTAAACCGAGTAATGTTTACATAAAGAGAATTTAAGGTTTAAATAAAGAGAATTTTGATTTAAGTAAATATGTTAATGGTATTCACCTAATAAATATAAATATATATATATATATATATATATATATATATATTTATTAATTTTTAAATATTTCTTTCTCAGTGTGTCATTTTATGTCTATGTACTCTCTAAATTTCTTAGAATGCGAGTTTATTCGAAAAATAGTCACACACTTTTAAGTTTCTCGAATTTGAGTCACTTGAATTTGAGTGATTTTTCACTCATATTGAATAGACTACTCTTAGCCATTGAGTGAATATCATTCCACTCGAGATTGAAGAGTGAATGTAATGTACACCGAATTTAAAAAATGCAGTCTCATTTCTTGGCATAATAATATTTGAAATTTTCTGTCAGATGCATCATATATAAAATATTCGTTGCTTATTAATCATATTGCTCATTTATTTATATATAAAGCATTATTATTATTGATTATCTGGTAAATCGGCAATTTCTGTAATACTCAACAGTTATAACGCACAAATATTTTATATATGATGCCCTCTTAACTCTGAAAATTTTGAATGTCACTAGGCTGGGAATAGGACCGTATTTATGAAGCTTGGTGTATTCCATCTCGTCACATAATATATCGGCTAAAACATTCACTCATAGAAACTTTTAAGCTTGAATGAAGCATTCACTCTTACGATTCCGAGTGGCGATATTTTTAGTAAAAATACTCTTTACTCGTTTTGAATGAGATTCTACCCTGAGAAATTTTCAGAGTACTTGGCAGGAATTTTGAGAGCGTGTTTTCTTGTTTCTGACGTCATCAATGAAGAGTTCCACGGCAAGTGCTCAAAAGTAGTCCTCATAATATATTGCCGCTCGATAAAAATTTTTTTTGTTCATTTTGAGACACACGCTTTGTGGACCGCAATCATTAAGAGCGGTATCACAATTGACGAGCTGAGCGATACGCCATGCGCGCGTATGCTGCTATTTTCACGAGAGAATGCCGTTCGCGATATTTTTGGGCATTATAAAAGGTGATTAATTCGCGGACAGAGGCACGTGGCAGGTGTGCGAAAATTGCGAGCGCGTGGAAATCATCACGCGCATCACGCGTGCACCCCGGGAGCATGTAATTATCGCGCGGGGTTGGCGTTATAACTTTTATATATCGTTACACGTGTGACGTGCGCGCGCGCCACCGCCTTTATCGACGATATCACCAGATGCGTCCTGGTAATTGCACCGCCCGTCGGAACATTTAATTGCGTTCCATTCGCGAAATGTGCGCCGCATCGGCAATGCCCGCACGATACTAGGTTATAACGTGCCAATTCCTATACTGGCAACATAATTTCGCGCCGCGCCGATTCGCGTTAATTTTTCGCGAGACCGTCGCAATTTTTTATACACGCGAAAGAATTGTGACATATTAATCATAATTAAAATTATTAATACGTCTGTTTAATCTATTCCTATTATCAAGCTTCACTCTGTCCTATCTATATTATTCGCTGCCTCTAAGCATCTGCCCGATCTAGTATAATACATACACATTTTTAGTCCACTATCACTTTTGTCGATTAATTTAATTACGATGTATAAATTATCAAATATTGCGTATTGCAGAAATGATACACGAATAGAATTCTAAGAATTGCGAAAAATTTTCCACCTACACGGATATTATTATATTATATTTAAATTATTATTATATTATATTATATTTAAATACATAACGGATATATAATATTAAAGTGTTTTTTTTTTTCATATAAATTATTTTCAAATTTACTATGTTTCTAGTGCAGGTAAATAGACTGTCAATTACTATGTTTCTAGTGCAAGTGAAGAGATGGTCAGTAGAGTCTGTTTTGCTAGGAAGTATAGCAAATTTTGCTAGAATGTTTTAATAGCATATTTCAGTTCTTATAAAATGCTAAGATATAAAATATAAAAAGTGAATTACTACAGAATGTCGATCTATTGCAAAATTGTACAGTAATTTTTACTATGTGAAATTTTTCCCGTATATGAAAGATATACCACCAGTTTTATCTACACTCAGGAAAAAGATATGGTGATTGTAACTATATAGGTACAAATATATAACTATACAATATATAGGTACACATATAAAACCGTACAGTTTAATAAACTATTTTGTAGTTATTGCGACTAAAGCTTTGGTTGCAGCAACTACAAAATACTTTGTTCAAATATGCGTACATTACAATTCTACATCCAAAATCCGTACAGTTGTCACCTGTACAGTCTTTGACGGATATCAATATTTTTTCAGCGTACATATACAATGTCTCCTGCGATACGTTTCAGGATCAACGAGCGCATTCTCTGGGCGTCGGCAGAGTTGCGGAAAAGCGGGCAAACGTCTCCGGGGGATCAACGAGCGGAAGCCGCCGGCACAATGTATAACGTTATTATTCCAAGCGACCGAGTTCAGAATCGGCCAGTTAGGAAATCAGTCGCTCGCAGGCAGCCCGCAGCTTCCGGTCCGGCGAGAAAGAGGTACCGCGCACAATGGTAGTCGCGTTGTCGAAGGACGAAAATCCGCTTGTATACCTCGCGGACGCTCGGATGCCTCAGATGGCCGGACCCCGCAAAGGAAAAACCGTCGCCGCCAACGGAGGTAATTGCGATAAATATTTAGCCAGCCGTCTGACAACCCTTTTTCCCTTGATCAACCACGCGAACTAAGAGGCTAAGAGAGGTGGAAGAGGAGCGCTGCGGGAAGGACCAAACCAACCGGGCGGGCGAACGGACGTTGAAGGAAAAACGAAAGCGGGCTCAAAGCAACGAAATCGGATAACGCGAATAATGTCCGCCGGACAATATCACGCCGGTAAGCTAATCGCTCCTAATGGTCGCTGGGTGCTCATTGTGCCGTCCAAATCCCATCAATATTTTTCCCGATATTTTCGAAAACAGTGCGCGGCGCGGGAGATCCTGCTTTTCCGTCTAGCGAGATTGAGGGACCATGGATCAGACAACATTCCTCGGCAAAGCTTTAAGCAAGCTGGCACGACTCTCTCTCTTTCTCTTTCGTCCGAAAAAATCCTTTCGACAGAACTAGTGAATGTTGTGTTTCTCGAAGGCATAATCCCATAAGTAGATTATTCCTATGTTCCATAGGAAATCCAATTTGACTGGCTGATTTCTTTCTGCCTTCGAAAAACTGAACGCCCTGCTTTTTTTAAATATTACATCTATTTTCCGCAAGGATATGTTCGTAACGCCAAGTTCAAACAGTTGTATGTTCTTGCATTATTGTTAAAATGGAAAATGTCAAGGAAAATTTCTCAGAATTATTTCTCGCGACGTTTATTGACGTTTCGACCAGGGTGTCGATCATGCATCTTTCTCCCTCGCGTGAACTCGTGAAAGGCGAACGGTTTCGTTGAATTTGTTAATAAAACTGTTCACTCTTTTCACGAGATCACGCTAGGAAAGGGAAAAGACGCGTGACCGACACCCAGGAGATTCTCAAGGATTGTTCGCGATCAAGGACCACCGTACGCGATGGTCGGAGAAGGATTCTCGCGGAAGATCAGGCGTCGCAGATAGGATCGAGCGGCGATGTCGCGCGGTAAGAAGTCCTAATGGACGACACAGGGGCCAGATAAGCCAAGAGGACTATCGGTAATGGATATGCCTGCCAGGATTTTGAGTAAACAGTTCATTTGTCATTTTCAAGGAGTCCGTGTGTAGGATCCGCGACTCGGTCTTCTCAGTCCTCCGTCTGCCGACGAACGAAAAAGGACGACGCATTCCCGCGCGATGATGCTAAGAGGAAAGACCTGTCAAAACGGCGGGTTCATCCCAGAGACTATCCCACACGCGTGTCCGCCACGCTGCTATCGATACCTTCGATCCCTCGACACATCCCTCGGGCACCTGCTCGCGTAGAAGAGATCGGTAGCCGATAAGCAAACTAATAGCTCTCGAATTTTGGAAACGAAACTCGTTGAGCGCGCGATGAACCGTTCACTTATTAATTGCAACTTTAGTAGAAGTTAAGTAAATAAATAATATCCATGAAAATAAGACTGACCGCGATCGTTCTGATGTGGAACAACACGTTCGTCTGTTAAGGTTAATGTACCAATGTCTAGACACGTATCTAATCTTGGATACTCTTATTATTTTGGTTTTCAGACACGAGTATTTCAACTTTTGACATAAAATATGTATACATATAATATATATGCATATAATGAATAGATACATATATTCCAAGTTGAAAGTTTAAATATTCTTATTCAAAGATTAAAATAATAAGAATGTCCAGGATTAGATGCGTGTTCAGCCATTGGTAGGGGAAAACTGGAAAGCTGTCTAGAAGTCACATGGGTCAATTGGAATTTACATCTTATGTAATAATGTGTGTGGAGAAGCATATTTTTTTTCTATAGTATACGTTGCTCATGTCATGTTAGTTGGGTATACGAAATGACTTATGACAGAAACATCATATGTGGTATTTACAAGTACTTTTCCAAAATTAGACGCGATGAATAAATTATTTTCTTTTTATTGATTCGTTGATTTAGAAATTTCTGGTCGCAACTTTACTTTAGTTCTAAGAAATATAGGTTTAGTTTTTCCTATAGGTTTAATTTTTCCTATATTTATCAACAGTTATTGCAACATAATTTATAAATATCTCTTTTATTCCAAACAACCATGCAGATTAAGTCATATTAAGTAGAATTAGTTGTCAGGCGTTGCGAGTCCGTCAGGTAGTTATAACGTGACTTACGTAAGAGTATGAAAGTATACGCAATGATGTATCATATTATACATGTCACAACAGTGAAAGTCTGCATAAGATCCTAGAGCTCAAAATTATGATCATAAAATTTATGAGAATATTATTGTCTTTTTAGTCCAATAATAGTATATTGTATCTGATTATAAGATATTGACTTTTTAATAAAACATTTAACACCTTAAAACAGAAATAATTTGTCTGGTTTCCTTGAAACATGAAAGACACGTG